TCACGCATGCTATTTCCTGTGTGAAACACCTATTTACTAGCAGGTAGCAGCAGTGGGTATGCTAAGGAAAGCTGGCCTAGCTTTGAAGTGATTTCCTAGAAGTGTGTTTTCCTTCCCAGACACGTATATGGCCCTTTGTGCCATGGAAACTGAGTGTGGCTGCCGTATTATGTTCTGCCCTGCCATGGGAACAGTGTTTCGAAGACATTTTCTTTAACCAGGCTTTTAGCACATCCATTTTGATTTACATCCAAATGGGTCACAGACATCAACACAGTATTATATAGAGGGGGAAAAAGGGAATGAAACGCTTGTAACATGAAAAATATGCTGTTGCATGTAGGCCAACTTTTGTTCTCTTTCTCTCGATTTATCTGGGATTTGGGTGGGTTTAATTCTAGGGCCAAAATCAGTACTGGCCTAAGAGAGCACAACTCCACTAGTGTGAAAAGCATCTCAATGTTTTTGTCAACACTTAACTTACTTCACTGAACTTTTCCCGTGTTTGAGCTTGCATGTTTCTTGCATCCTAATGTGCACATGTACTGCACACATGCTGCACATATGCACATAAAAATTCACTGGGAACAGCATTTGTCTCCGTGCTTTTTGACTTTGTCTAGAAATTGCAATCTGCTTATGAAATATTTTGCTTCTCCTGTAGTTAATGTGCCATGCATTTGTAAGGATCAGCCATGCAGAATGCCATGTTGTGAATAAAAATAAAATACCAAATAGCAAAGGCAAGCATGGACATAGCTTTTTTTCCCTCAGACTGCATGAATGTATATATGCACAAATCACTGTGAGATGCACAGAAATACTACAGGTACTTATCATTGGAGGGAGCGGTAGTATTTTCTCAGCTTCATGTCTCAAATGTAGGAGTGTATCATGAGATCTGCTTACCTGTCGGTGACTGAAGAGTAGTAAGGCCAAAGCAGAGGTGTCTCGCTGTCTGCAGTGCCTCTGGCAGCATTTGGGATATTGCTCTGGTCATCAGGTTTGAGAGAGAAACGTGAGTGTTGTGCTGTCCCAGTATTCCAATAATGTAGGTGTCCTGAGTATAGACCAAGACCTGATGGTGCTGTGAACAGAAAGCTGGGAGATGATCTCTGCCCAGAACTTTTACCACGAATGTAAGGCAGATATGACAAACACACAGGTAAGGACTTCTTTGAATGAATAAGAACTTATTGGGCCATCTTGAGGCCAGGTGTCCTCAACATGCAAGCAGCCTTCTCAGTGCTGCACGTCTGTGGGCACTATATATAACTCCTCCTGGATTTAAAGGAGACTGTAAAGTTTTCTTTTCTTTTTTCTTTCTTTCTTTCTTTTTTTTTTTGATTGAAAGGCCTTTGATGCATCCTAAGAGGGACTTTCCCAGTGCACCCTTTGCTCAGCAGAATGGGGTGTCCAGATGTGATTATATTCTCACTATAAAAAAAACCTAATGTTTCAGGTGAGAAGTGGAGGATACTGTCCTCTGGGACAGTATGAAATTGAATCATTAGGAAGAAATTAAGGCACTGCTTGCAAATAAAACTGGACCTTTCTCTGCAAACATTATCCCTGGGAATAATTGGAGATCTGCATTCAGGCTTCCTGCTGGGTCCAGTCCCTGGAGGACACAGCTGCTGTATTGCTTTACATGGTGCGGCAATGCACAGGGAGATTTACATATATATCACATAAAAGTGTTTACAAAAAAATTAGCATGTGATTGAGCTGGGAAGCTGCAGAGGGCCCCAACTGTATGAGTTTCCATGCACTTCAGCCAGAAGATTTATTTCCAATTTGTTATTCATAAGGGAAGAGAGAGAGATTGGGATGGGGTCCTTTGAAGTGGAAAACAAAGTCTTCTATTCAGCCTTCAGCTTAATAGAATACACATGACACAGGCTTGGCATGGCGGCCTGCTTTCATGTAATGTGCTCGTTGTCATTTTGCCTTCCTAGGCTGTGAATGCTAGTGGGAATGGGCACTGCTCTGGAAAAGTCTCTGTCTCCTGCTGCCTTCTGCAGGAGATGCGCAGTGCGAGCAGGTAGGAGCTGAGTGGTCGTGGTGACAGCAGGCTAATGGGATTGTTGCTTTTGTGTTGCTAACAGTTCCCAGTTTGGGTTTTGCAGTGGAAGAGGCTATCTAGTAAAAGCAGAATCACTGCAAGGCTTACACATGAACTTCTGCCTGGACTTGGCCTCTTTGGAGTCCGTGAGCCTGGAGCTCTGACCCCAGTCTTGTGTTGTGGCAGTAATGAGCAATTCCATCAGAAGTCAGTGACTTCATATAGGTGAATAAGGTATGTATTTCCTTTCAGAAGCAAGGCCCTATTTTTTCAGTGATGCTATTATTACCCATGTCTGCAGCCTATCATAGCTTCTTTGCCTTGCGCTGCATTAGTAGCACTGAAACCACACTTAATGCAGCATGTGGACGAGTGTTCTTGAAGACATTACCAGCCCTGTAAGGACCTGTCAGTGATTGGGTCTGTGGGCTGGGAGAGAAACCACGCGTGACCTTCAGCACATCAGCCCAGCCCGCGGTGCCAGTGTGTTAAGGAAGAATTTGGAGCAGGGTCCTGCCAGGCCTCTTGGTTCCTTTTGGCTTCCCTCTCCCTCCTCGCTTCTCTCTTGCTCTTCTGCATACTCAGGTTTGGAGCTCTGGGTGAATCATCGAAATCAGAGATGGAAAGAAATGCATGAAGTCATCTCATCCTGCCCTTGCCAATGCAGGATTATTCCCCACAGTACAGTGTTGAGTGCCTTCTCCAGTCTATTTTTAAATGACTCAGAGGAGAGGGCTTTCCTCTCCTCCCTGGGGAGGCTGGCTCTGCTATTCAGTAGACCTCACTGTTGGGGAATTTTCTTCCTGTTCTCCAGTTCTCCTTTACCCTAATTTAATTGAACTGTCTCAGGCTCCACCCTTCTAAATAATTTTCCACATTACGTGACACTTGCAAGTACCTGTTGTCAATTTGTGGGCATGATGGATGGGAATTCATCACGGTTTGTACAGACCTGTACCAGGAGACCAGGCGTTATCAGAAACTAGATTTCAGATTTAGAAGCCAATTAATAAGAATGACATGTAGAACTGTTTCAGAAACACCATTGGTGCAGACGCCCATCATGACTAAGTATAAGCTGGGCTTCTGAATGTCTGCATTAATATGTTTGTTTTCCTGTTTGTCTTCCAACAGATCTTGCATAGTGGCCTTTGCATAGCAGGAGTAACTGTTGCCAGTTCTCAGGTTGAACTGTAGATATATATGCATTTGAAGAACTTTTAGTTAAAAAATGCAGTACAATTTTTGTCAAGGGGCCACAGCAATTAAATTTCTAAACCTTGGCTTTCAGGTTAAGGTTTCTTATGGTCCTTAAGTATTATGAGAAGGGTCTTGAAGATGGGATTTGTGCTTTGAAAGTGCCTGGATGTTTTGGAGCAGCGCTCTTTGTCTTATGATGGAGCATGCATCCTTCATCCAGCAGGACTGACTTGCAAGAAAGCTGCATGTCCGAAGAGTGTAAGTTATTCCAGAAAAGCATCCTATGGGTTTGAAGAATTACGATTCCCTATTTATTTATTTATAAGATGAAAATCATTTTCTGCTGTGGTTGACAGAAGAAAAGAAACACATTCTGAAAACACCAGGAAAAAGAATGACTAGCATTAAAGAGGCTGAAATCCCTTTAGTGTTTTCGTAAAGCAGAGCTGCAGCTATTTAGCTGTGGCAGGATACCAAACAACATTGTGGCTGGCCATTGTTGCTTGAACAGTTTGATTTTTAAAACATTCAGCTGAAATATAACCACCAGCCAAGTTGGAAGAAGCGAGTCACAAGGACAGCATGTTAAATCAAGAGTCAGCAAACGAGGGAAATGAGTTCCCGTGCCCCAGAGGAGTGTGGCTGCATAGCAGAGCAGGAGCCCGAGAGCAATATCTCAGCTTAGCCTAGCTATCGGGTTGCTTTCAAGAAAATGTTATAGTGTAGAAATAATACATCTTTAAAAGGAGTGAGATGGTGCTGTAGTTATAAAATAAAATTATTGATTTCTCTGCAGTAGGCCTCAGAAGGGCCGTGGATCCTCCCCTTTCTGCTAAGCAGCATTCCTGAGCTCATGAAACAGAAATCTCTCCTCCAAAGAACATCCAGTGTTAAGCATTTCAAAAGATGGGATAGGGATGATGAGGGGGGTGGAGGAGGACACACAGTGACTGCAGCTGGCAGAATAAAAACCCACCCAAGCAAGCTTTGGCCTTTGCTGCTGATACCAATCAGAGTCATCAAGCTGTGTGTTTGACCTGATTCTTAGTACTTGTTTTTTAGAAGACATGGTTGTTGTTGGTGTTTTAGAATGTGCATGTTTACAAGAGAGTTTAATGGGTTGGAGCGTGGTGTGTGGGAGCAGTGGCAAGGAGAAGGGTGTGTGGTCCCTAATGACGCCAAGTGAAAAACAGACACACCTGCTTCTGAATATAATGGGAGCGATAAGAGTAATTTGCTTAATGATGGTTTCTTTTGGGAGCACAAGGGGAAGGGTTGGTTAAGAAGTGAAGGGGAGCAGACAATTCATATCACGCTGGACCAGGGACTGCTCATCTTGCATGGGAGTGCTGGGTGGATCTGGGCTGAGCTGGTGCTGCTGCCTGCATGCTGCCCCCCTTCACGCAGTGTTTTGCCTTGCGTGGTTTTATCTGCCAAAAAGAAAATCAATTCACAAAATATTTGCAAGGTTACATGGCCACAGGCTTAAATACATACATATGAAATCCTTGAAAGCAATTTGCTTCAAGCCGCCCTCCGTTCCAGACATCTTTCTCACTCCATCTGCTCGTTCAAGTACACAAGTTCCTTGGGAAAAATCACTTATTACATCACTGAAAAATGCCACAAAAATAGCTTTTCGCTTAAGTTCCCATCCTCAGAGTTAACTCGCATGGGGATCAGATAGATTCGAACATTTAATAACTTTTTTATTTTCCTTTCTCTTTAAACACAGGATCTCTGGTCATGGAAGCAGGGTCACGTGGTGGATTCTTGGCAGTCAGCAGTCTGTGGAGCTTTTGCAGGTGCAAAGGATTATATGTTATACTGGGAAAGACTAAAGAAGAAAAGGAAAAATGTGCAAATCTATTAAGTATAGCAGAACAACATTCCTTTGTAATTCAAGTTTGTTTAGAAGAAAATGGATCCAGTTGTTATTTGGAAGTAGGAAAGTCAGCAAAGGAAAGAGCAGGGGAAAAAAAAAAGGCCGACTGAAACAGGGTGTCTGTTTGAAAGACAACCAATTTGTTTTTGACAAATTTCTGTTATTTAAAATCCAGGGGCCTGTCAGTCAGGCTTTGCGATTATTTCCAAGTTGATTTGTAAAATCCTCATCCAGGAGGAACTTCGCTTGCGTGCGGGTTTGTGCAGCTGTCTGCTCCCAGCGCATCCCCAGGGCTTTAAGTGAGAGGCCATGATTCACCATTCATGTGACAGCTCTGACAGCCATGTAGATTAACTAGAGTCAGGAGAGCAGAGGCTAGCATTGCACAGCCTGGAGGCAAAAGCCTTCCGCAGCAAAAAAGAAACGGAGGGTGAAACATCTGGGCAATCTCCAGACACTAGAACAAGAATAAAGAGTGGCAGAATACAATACTGCACTATTTATTACCAAGCAAGCCAGAAGTTAATTGAATTCTTCAGTAGGCTTCTTGCTTGATTTTAGACTACTGTAGATATTAAAAAAAAATAAAAATAAAAATCAATTAATGACTCATCAGTGTAGCTGACAAGTTAGAGGGAGGAGAGACTTAACTGTCTTAATAGAAAAACAGATTAGTAGTTCAGAGATGGATAACCAGAGCTTTTCCCCAAGGAATTAAAATACATTTTGAGATTCTAAACCAGTGGCACAGTATGTGGAAAAAATAAATGCTGCTTAAACAGAAATTATAGCATTTCTTGAAATAGAGATTATCAAAAGCAAAGCTTGTTCTTTGATGACTTGTAAAGTCAGAGCTGTTACACTGTATGTAATTTTTTAAAATAAACTCTCTTATGGGAATTGAAATATTAATAGCAACAGAATTCCAGCAGTGTCTGAGGCTTCCTTTTGGTAGGCACTGTAATGGCACAGCTGAGAAGAGAGGGTTGATGGCTGTGAGTGCACTCACTTTAGAAGACCAGGCATGCTAGAAATGGGAGGAATAGTTTGAGTACAGTTGATTCAAAGGGGGTTCCAGAGGGGCTGTTTTAGGCAACCTGTTGTGTGTCCAGCTGTATTTTCTATGTTGATTTGATGTGAAAAGGTTTTATTCTGCTTAAAATTCGGTCTGCTTTGGGGTTTTACACTGACTTAATCAGCATGGACAAAATGAGAGCGGTTGAAGCAGATGGTTCATTTTTGTTTTGAAACCAAACAAGCTATCAGTCTAAAAATGCTTTAAAATGCAATCTGGGTCTCTGCAGGTGTGATAGGAGATCATTAATTTAACTGTGTTGATTTCTTTACAGTCAGATTGATACAAAAACTGTGTTCAGGCACGTTCAGAGAGCTGGAAAGGTTATCTGATTTACCCAAGGCTTTGTGGAGTAATTTCCTGAAGTCCAATTTGGTGCCTCACTTGGAAACTTAGCCTGGTGCCTCTGTTTCCTTCCGTCTGTGTCTTGATTCTGGCCAGTTGTGCTTGAACTTGCTACTGTTTGATGGATGTTTGGTACTACGTGCTCACTTTCCAGTGGAAACATGCAGAAGGAGCTTCCAGAGGCTCAATCGTGCATGGGTGCTTCAGTGCCCTTGGCGCGCAATGGGAGACCTGACACCTCATGCTCAAGGGGACACCAGGTCCTGGAGCAGCACAGAGAGTTCCAGGTTCATGTTCAATGAGGCAGTTCATAAGCTCTATTCCCAAAGCAGGAATCTTTGCAAAACTGCAGTCGATTTTTTTGTAGGTTGTGCAATATATAGCAATATGTAGATTGTGATGAAACTGGTGATGATATATTCTGTGGTTCACCTTGCAGCTTCAGCTCCTCCAGCCTGGTTTTCCTTTTTTGTTCTTTCCTTCCCTATTCTTCCCTTTTCACTAGCAACATTTTAAACTCCCTGTCTGATGTGTCCTTTGAGAGCCTGCTTCAAAACTCGCAAGGTTAAACTGGCTTTGGATCAGAACCTTACCTTTCATTCCCTCCCTCTGCAGACACACAACAGGCAGAATCTTGGACTAAACCAGCCCTGCATCCATTCTGTTTCACTGAACATATTTAGCCCCATTACTGAATGGAGGAGGTGGAAAAATAATTTCCTGCTTTCTGAAGTTTCTATTCCACATTAAAAACTATTAACTACCTACTTACAGCTTCAAATGAGAGAAGAAAAACCAGACCAAACATTTTATCCTTTTTTTTTTTTTTTTTCCCCACCCAAAGCAAAAATTGAAATGCCACCAGTACCCTGTGAAGAAAATAAGATGTATTTATGCATCTGAATGGTTTTAAATCATCACATTATAAACCTCCAATGGAGAAGATTATCCAAAATCCCGCTTTTGAATGCAAAGATGCTATCAAATGCCACCGTGGTAGTTGTGGGTTAGAGAAGTCGCACAGACGTGCTTTTCTCCTGTGTTCCTTGCTTGAATTCAATACTTGCTAAAAATATGTTAGAGGTCCTGAGGGGCAGGGTAATAAGCTGAAACAAACTGAATGAGAGGTCTTCTTTGGCTTCCCTTGATGGGGAGCACACACATACACGCATGTGTCTGTGTTGGTTAGCTCCTAGCTACATCGTAATTGATTGTTTGGCAAAGGCAGAACAAAGACTAACAATATATTGAATTCCATCCCCAGTGCCTGTGAAATAACAGAGATTTCAGCCAAAGAGCTATGAGAGCCCGGCTCTTGTTGAGCGCACATGTGTAGATGTATGTATGCTCTCCATGGGCTTTTTATAGAAACGTAACAGGCACGAACATAAATATCACATATTTGGAATCTTCTCTGTCTCATCTGTTAATAATTTAATCCCCAGAGGCCTTGTCCAGCTTTCTCATCGTCTCTGGTGTATTCACTAGAGGAGACGCTTGGAGCAGTCAGGGACTGAGAGAAGGAGATATGTGAGCAGGCAGTGGGGAGGAACTCAAGAGCAGATCTGTATTATAGACTGTCCCAGAAGAGTCCTGTGTGGGTTTCTGATGCCCTCCGCAGATTCGGGCTGCTGGCAAGGAAATTCTGCCCGTGGGTATTGACCTTTGGTAGGGAAGCAAAGCACTGCCCATGCAACAGTGATACTGCTCCTGTTTGTCAGAGCAGCAGAGTTGCTCGTTTAATGGGAAAACTGCCTCTATTAAAGATGCTTCCTTTTTCTCCAGAGTTTTAAAAAAAATAAAAATTACTTAACATTAATAATTTGTGCTCTGTTTTGACAGAGTCACAGAGAATGGAGGTGCAAGCTTAGTGAATAATAAAAGCACTAATGAGACCTTTTTGCACGTTAACAGGAGGGACTTCCCATCACTTTTGTTTTGATCTAATTGGCTCTGACAAGATTACACAGTGTCTGAAAGCCTCTTTAACTCTATAGCTCTGAATAAATTTCTGAGTAGTTTTCAGGATTCTCCCTTCAGTGTTTGCCTGGACCATGCTTCTAAATCCAGAGCAGTTCAATCACTGGAAGAACAGTGCTTCTCCTCCTGGTACTTCTGCTGAGGTCACTTTGCTCTAGCACTGGCAGGTGTTATCCCTGCAGTGATAAATGACCAGAATCAACTTCTTAAAAATTAACCTAGTGTCAATAAAATACATCTTCAAATCAAGATCTGCTTCCTTACCACTAGGATCGAGAGTTATGTCTTGTCCTCAAATGAAGTGCTTCATTCTGTTCTGATGCTTCTCAGTTTCTATTTGCATATGACAGCTAAGAACGATAGGAAATGCCAGCAGAAACCTAGAGGATTATCTTGAAGTCTTCAAGCCTTTTTATTCTTACTGCCAAGTAAAGGTAAATTGCTCTCTGCTTGCCCTCAGTACAGTGGATGTCTGTCTGTAGCACTTCCATCAAGACCTGGTCAGTGGGAAAGTGTGAGTAGCAAGGGGATTTTCTGTTTAACACCCTGCACTCGGTAAATTTTAGGCTGTTCAGCTGACATGTGTGAATATACAGTGTCCATTGTAACTTCTTGGGAGACAGGTGATGAATTTTCCAGTAGCATGAACTTTTATTTTCCCAACAGAGGTGTTTGTTGCCCTGCAAGAAGTGTTAACAAGCCAGGAGCCTTTTCCTGTGTGCAAATCTATCTTTATGCCTACTTGCTGAGCTCAAGCCAGTAGACAGATCCTTGTAAGGGCAAGGGATAAAAGGAGTCTTCTCTATGAGTGAGTTGGTAAGTCAGTGCCCTCGTCTGGTCCCAGGCTGTTCTGGAGGTGCCTTTTCTCTTTGGTAGCTCTACAGAGACAGAGCATGAGGTTGGATGTGTCTGGGCCTTTCCTTTCCCCCTCACACTATGATACCTTATTTTTTCTGACTGTTGAACAGACATTATCAGCTGTGTGTGACAGCTCTTGGAGTTGTGAGATAGCCATGCAGTTTTATGGATGAGGTCACTCTCAAATTACCTCGGTTAATTAGGGTTAAGGCTGAAGCATGTTCATTTTGTTGGACTTACTGCCCACAATACAATGTTGTTCCCTATAAATGTTAACTTTAATCTCGTGCTTTTGTTAAGCGTATGCAAACTTGCATTTAATTTGTCCTGCTGTTGTGCTTGTGAAGCATTTTATTGTTGCTGTTGTCTTTCTAAATTGACTGGTAAATCTGTACCAAATACTTCCCAGTGATGGAAAAAGAAACACTGAAAAGTTAATAACCAAGGAGTCTGCAAGATCCAGATGTTAGCTGGGGAAAAATGAAAACCAATCGGTCTTGATTAAACTGTTTAGATAAGAGTGTTTTGGAACATTGTATCAGAATGAATTGTGTTTGTTCAAAATGCTGTCACTGAGTTCGATCCTGCCAATAAGGAACTGTTAGGAATGATTGCTTAAAAAAATTAACAGGCTCCAATAAGGAAAGTGAGTTTGCCCTACTGCAGAGCTGCCATCACCTCTACAGCTCAGCGCTGTATTGAGATCTTTGATACAGATCCAACAGCCCTGTGACTCACTGTTCAATTGTGCCTTGATTTGTGGGCAAAGGAAGAACTTCCACATCCAGACTTGTAAATCCACCATTTTCCGTGGAGATTATTTTTATTACTCTAAAAATACATTGCTGACACGAGTACCAAGTTTCTAACCCAGTCATTCTCTCAAAACCTTTTGGGGTCATTTAGTCAAAAACTGGCTCACAATGAAAAGATTTTTGACCTTAAAGAAGGTCCAGGAATGGGCTGGAATTTACTTTAAGTTGCTCATAGTTTCTGCTTTGGCTTCTTGAGTGCAGCCCGTTTTTCTGCTTTTTAGTGAGAAGTCACTGCTAGAAAACTTCCGGCAGAGTGAAGCTGATGGGCTGAGCTTAAGTGAGCAGAAGCTGCTGCTCCAAACGGGGCGTTCATTAACTCTGCTTCCCTGCTATTCTGGTTTGAGATCCAAGGCATTGAGCGCTTGCCTTACTGCACACCCTGAATTATCATGGGACCTTCCTTAATTAGCTGTGAGAAGTCATTACAGGGTGCCAGCTGGCCAGCCCCTGTCTGACAGAAAGCAGGGCTTTAATGTGTTCCAGCTGCGGTGGCTGTGAGAGGTGCAGGTAAAATCACCATCCACCTGGGGAGCTGGCGTTTTTTTTGTGACTTGTCAGATTTTAGAAGAAATGTTTTCTCCCTTTCCATCCCAAGAAAAGGAAAGATCAATTTTTCTACATTCCAGAAAACTTGGAGCAAAACATAGATTATTTTTAGCTTATTCCCTGGGTGCTGTGCAGGCTTCAGCCTTTGGAGTCACTTTTTTCCTTGCTGTAGCAGATAGAGAGTTTATCCAAGCTCCAGAGGAGCGAGATAAAAAACACCAAGGGAACACAAAGGACAGATTTCAGAACAAGTCTTTCTTCCCTCCTTTCCTTTTCTTTCTTCACTTACTGCTGTGCTGCTCCAGTGTTTAGAAGTTTCCTTCAGTTTGGCTCTTCCTCAGCATGAATTACTTGCTTAGAATACTGTGAATAGAGGAGGCAGAGAGAAATCAGAGTTAATTTTAGGATGGTGAAATAAGGCAAAGGGAATAAGAGCCCGGGAGAAAAAGCAGCAAAGCTGGTCTCTAGGTAGTGCAAGAGGCCAGACTGTAGCCACAGTGTTAAAATGTGGAGAAATAGGCACACGTTTGTGGGTGAGACATGCACATGGATAAGCTTAAGATTTCTGGCTTTTGGGACGAAAACCACAGCTGAGCTGGCTGCTCTGAGTGAAAGTAATGAGCTCCAAGGGTGAAGTTTGGGAGTGATTAGGGAGAATAAAACTGCCTGTGAGAAGATGACACTTGTGACAGCGGACTTCTGATAATTTCTAACAGTTTCACATTGTTATTTTCCAAAATTGAGCTGATTTTCATTGGAGATGAGCTCCATCCCAAACTCAAGCTTGTTGTCTTTCCCTTGAAGCAGAATCTCAAGTCTAACAGTTGAAGTTCAGATCCAGTCTGTCTCTGTGTTTCAGATGCAAAACATCCTTCCTCTCTTTCTAAAGTGTCAGTGTTCAGACTTTAATTCTCAAGGTAGAGCACAACATGACATGCTTATTTTACCTTCTCTGCTCATGAGCAAGCAGGTTTTTCCTTTCATGCTTGCCTGTAGTTGTTGAAAGTGGAGTCTGTTATTGCTAAGGCCTTTGTATATTCTTCATATGCGTCCAAATCGAGAGGACACCTGTCTCAGCAGGGATGCTTGAGTGTAAGGTTAATAGCACAGAAGTGTTATTCCTTAAGCCAACATACAGGAATAAAACACTCTGTATGTGGACCTTTGAAAATGTACCTGGACTCTGACATGAGGAAACATGCTGTAGGCATTAATAACGAAGCAGTGTTGACCACAACCATGAGAATTATAGGTAGTATGGCATTCATGTTTAACCAACAATGTCTCACTTGTGTTTGGTATTTTAATTTGCTCAGGTGGATTTGCAGCTGCAGTTACCACACCTCTCGATGTAGCGAAGACAAGAATTATGCTGGCAAAGGTAAGAGTGGGAAATACCAGCAGACATGCAGGTGAATGGCAGGGGTAGTTTCAGAAGTGTCTCAGTGGTCATTACAGAATGAAATTCAGAGCATATTAATGATGACTTCTGCTCTTCTCATTGAAGTCAAGATTAGATTTGAACAGGCACTGCGTGTAGAATTAATGAAATTGTGTTCTGTTCCTTGAGTTATTCTTCTAGTCTTTTCCCATAGTAGCTGTCTGAGAAGGTGCTGCAGTTCTGATGGACCCCAGACTTGCTGAGGCTCATGCAGCGGTGCCCAAAGTTAAACATCCCAACAGGGATTTTTTCCTCTGTTGTTTTGATAGTGGTTTCTGTGTGTGTGGTTTTTGAGGAGGGCTTGACACTAGATTTTCATGCTCCATTTTTAAACCACAGAGATCATGATGACTTAGTTCTGCCATCCAAGGCAGAAGGAAAATGGCTTGTAAGATTAGTATGTTTAGTGAGCAGTTAAAGTGCTAATAAATCTAGTATTCCCATCGTTCTCACTGATCCAGAGCAGAGCTAAGCAAGCCACATAGCTTAAAGCCTGGTGTTCCTAAAGCCTTTCCCTGCCCTGGAAAGAGCTGCTATGTTGACAAAGGTCAGGCATCCTGGAATTTCTGTGGATTGTTTTTACCCTATGGCTCATATCTTTCAGTAAAGGGATGTTTATTCTTGCTGGCATGCACCTCCCCAGCTGAGTCACGTGCATCTGTGCTCACCATGTGTTGTCGTCTCTCTCATTGCTGGGTGTTGTTCCTGATGCAGCTTCTTTGCCTTTGGACAGCATTAATGATAAAGCTCTTGGAAATGGATTTCATTTGTCTGTTGCTGTCCTCAGCAACCAGGTCAGCATTGGCAAGGGAATGGTGGTGCTTTGAAATGTTCTGAGACCATCAGTCATCTCACACTAACTAGATCACACGTGTAATTTAATTGCCTGCAGTCCTGGTGTTTGTCCTCTGTTTTTCACTCAAGGTAATTTTCCCATTCAAAACACTGCTCATGTTTTTAAACATTGTTGGTAATTAGTATTTCTTAAATTCATCTCCAGGCTGCTATAGTTTGAATCTGAAGCCAGTGAGTAACAGAGTCACTTGTTGCTATTCTGAGAGCGTATTTTTATTAATATTGTTCAGAGTCAGTTGCTGAATGTAGAGCAGAGTGTAGTGCAGAAGAGACTGGAGCCCCTCTTCAGTAATTAGCCAGCTCTGTGACCTTGGGGTGATTGTTCTGTTCTTCTGTGCCCACATTTCCCCTTCTGTCCTCTGCCTCATTCCCAGAGACAATGAGCTTTTACTTCTGTTGGAGTAAGGAGGTCATTAGGACCTCTGTAATTGCTGCAAGGTAGTGCTAATGAGGGACTGGGTGCTTAATAAATAACTAAACCTCTCTGGCGACAGGTTTTGATCTCTCTCTCTTTTGGTGCAGGCTGGTTCCACCATGGCTAGCGGAAACGTTCTGGCTGCCCTTGGTGGCATCTGGAGGACGCAAGGACTGCCAGGGTAAGGATGTGCTGAAGAAGTGTATCTGTGTGCCTGGGGAGGGCCAGGAGGGGGACAGTGGCCTGCTTGTGTTTGAATGGTGACATACAGAAAAGTTTTTAAATTGTTGTGTGCATGGCCAGGGAGCAGCTCTCAGGTAGGTAAGGACAGCTGTTCTGTGTCTCTCCAGTCTAGTGATTGGTCTTTAGCACTGGCTAGGAGCAGTGTCCAAGGAAGACAACCAAAGTGATGTTACTGGGTGTATTTCTCTGGGTCCATGTCTTAGGTTAGCTCCAGATTTCTGAGCTGAAAATGGTTCTGTGTTAAACAGCCTGTGATGGACTTACCTCCATGAACGTGTTTGTGTTACGGATCCGTTTAAACTTTGGTCATGCACACAGTTTTGTGGCATTAGTGCCACGGTTTAATCTGAAGGTGTGTGAATCACATCACCTCCTGAGACAACAGGGAGTGCTGGCACAGGAGCTCTGTGTCCATTATGGGTGGTCTTCTCTTGGCAGCTTCCTACTGACATTCACAACACTTGCAAGGTGTCCTCTGTTCCTTTATATTTGCTGATACTGAGAAGCATAATGGAAGCATTCATGGCAAAAAGTGCAGGTTTTCTGAAGCAGGCATCGTTTTAATCGATATGAGCAGCTCCAGAGCAGTTATCCAGCTGCTTTCCTGCTGTCACCAGGGTGTAGAAATGTTGTTCTGGGCTTTCTTCGAGCTGTTATAGGAAGTCTGGGATGATGTCAATTCAATCTCCTAATTTGCCTCACTTTACTCATTCCTGAGAATGAGAATTGCCATTCTGACCTTGGAGCGATGCTGTGAAAAAACAGTCCTTTGGTAGCATTTGTGGAACATCTTGAGAGCTTTTGAAGAAAGTGTCACAGGCTTATAAATTATTATTAGAGTTTAGACACCTGCTTCGTTTATGTTACCCTGCCCTGTTTGAGTGCAAGTCACACTGGTTATTGGTCTCTCAAAGTCAATATACAGAATATTCATCTCAACCTCAGCGAGTAGAGGCTCCTCTGCCCATGAGCTCCAGCCTGTGCTTCCTTTGCTGGGGTCTGTGTCCCACCTGCCCTTGAGCTGAAAGAGAAATGAAGGTTTTTGTGGAAGCTTTACTCAGAGCTTTTTGCTATAATTTTTATAGGCTTGTAATCCTCCTGATGTGGCCGATACTTTCGGGGTGCTGTTCTAACATTTGTAAACTGCTGCTTGAAAGCAGCATGTACATTTTGGCTTTGCAGGAGATAGTTTTCTCTTAACATCTGATCCATGCTCACACGGCCAGTAAAAGTTCTGTCCTCTTTCTACACATGTGGGAAATAATTTGAAACAAATTGCAGGAAGTTCTGGACAGTCACTCCAGGAAGCTGTCCAGCTGTGTGCACCACCAGGCTGCATGGATGGCTGTCTCAGGGCCTCTCTTTGAGGTGTCCATCTGAGGATGCGTTCCAGGTCCTCTTGTGCAGCTGATGGAAGCTGATGTTGGAGGGCAGAACAAGATGGGTTTGGCTGGGGGAAGCTTCCCCTTCCTCTGCCAAGAGCAGAAAATAAAAATAGATGTTTATGTTCTTTTCAGGGTGTTTCAGCAGTGCCCTTTTCTAAACAACCCCCGATTAAACTCTGACTAAAGATAGTACCCGTGGACTGGGACCAAAGGGAATGCAATTCAATTGAAATCAAAACAATAAGTGATCTAGAGAAAAAGTAAAATGTAAAGTAGGCCAAGCTGTGTCAACTGCAAGGACAAGGAAGAAAGTCTTGGGAAAAATAAACACAGAGACTGCCATGCCTGCTGCCAATTATAAATCTATTTATCAAAAACAATAAAAACGTCGGCCTTTTTTGGCCAGTTGCAACATGAAGTGATTTATGACTTCTCTAATAAATCTTGTATTTGAAGAGGAGGAATTCTGGGGGCAGAAAGATGCATTGCTTATTGCCACCTTATTAAAACCAGAGCGCAGGGCTCAACTTCCTGTTTTGCACCTAGTAAATCCCTCTGCTTCACTCCAAGAAATTTCACATCCCCTTCTGTCCAGAGAGACAGGCCTGCAGAGGAGATAGAGTAGAAATGAGGCAAATGGATCTGTGTGCCCCTTAGGTCCCACCAATGGAGGAATGAACCATTTACATGAATGCAAATTTATCTTTTTTGAGTGCTTTTCATGCAAGGAGGTGGTGCTGTTTGAAAGCAATGGATGAAGCTTCACTGGTGAGGAAGACAGGTGTTATTTTGACTGATGGGAAAGATCGGGTGAGATGGCTTGTCCCACTTTGTGCTCACTGGGGACAGAGCATTTCTCTGCTTCATGTCCACGGCTGAGCTTCCAGGTCTGTGAGGATGCAGTGTGGCACAGAGGGCAGCACCACACTGGTCTCCAGGGCTTGATCTCAGAGATGTGGCTCATGTCAGCAGCCCTCGTGCCAGCGGCTTGCTGCTTTCAGTTGTTGAGGTGTGGCCCCAAAATGTAACGTTTGGTGTTGGAACGGTGGGACTGAGGTCTGTTTCTGGGTTAGGAATGCTGAAATGCAGAGCTGCTCCCAGATGGAGGGGAGGGCCTGTGGTGTGGGTTGAACACACCTGCAGCCAGGCCTCTTCCTGGAATTTAAATGTTACTCCTGGGTCTTCGAATCGTATGGTTGAGGAGAGCATGATGTATCTTTACCTGGAAGCCCACCGTTATTCTTTGCCAATCAGTCATGTTTTGTGCTTTTATTACAGCTGTTGAGGCCATCCAGCTGTTGGTGCTGGATCTCATTAGTAGCTGGGAGACGTGCTTCAGCAATGGGGAAAAGCCCAGTGGGAACAGAGCGCTGTTACAGGAGGGGCAGGGTCAAAGATGAAAGCGCTACAAGTAAAAATCTGTGCAGATACAAATAGATGGCAGAACTGTGCCCATCTGAGGGGTTTCTGGTGGGGTTGCTGGAAAACAAACCATTCATTTCATCAGCTGATGGGGCACACGTGCTGCAGCAGGGCCCAGCTTGGATCAGCCTGCAGCACAGCTCAGCTCTCCGTGCCCTTGGGGGAGCTGTGGGTCTGGGAGGGACAGACCTCGTGGTGGCAGGTGAGAAAATGAAGTTGGGGGTAGCATGTCTGGGGTTCTTGGAAGTGATGGTTAGTAATGCGTGCTGCCAGGGATACAGCTGCTGGGTAACTTGGTTATCTGCTTCTGTTTGAGTACTAGCTGAGTGCTGAATGTGCTGTTCTGTAAATGAGTGCCTGCCGCTGCTCCTGTAATAAGTGCTGTCTAATTCAGCAGGAGAAAGATGGTGTGTGTCCCAAGAGCAGTGCTGTGCTGTAGGATTTGCCCTATCAGTGCTCTGTCCGTACATGCCTTGTACAAATTACTCTGTTTTAAAGCTGTCATTATGGTAATAGACCAATTGCTGTCTAGTAAAGCCATAAAATGTTTCCATCTGCTTGTGTGCTCCAGGCTCCTTAGCAAAGCTCATTACAGCAAAAACCAGTGTTACTGCAGCCCGAGGTTTCCCAAGCACAGTGTGAGCAGTGGCACAGGGAGCCAGCAGAGCTGCTTGGTTTCCCAGGGATTTGCATGCAGTCCTACCACGGACAGACACCCAGAATAGTGCGGAGCCGAGGGCAGCAGCATCCCTGTGCAGCCCAGCCCGAGCTGCCTGAGGCCTCCCAACGGTCAGTAGAGGAAGGTGGATAGATTTGAGCTTAATGTTTAATCCTTGCTCACAGTAAAGGAAGCCTGTAATCCTCTGGAAGGGAATACTGGCCTATCGTGAAGTTATTAAATCAACTGTGAGCTTAGATGTGTTGGAGTAATTGGCTTTGCATGAGTTTCCTGTTAACTTCCAAGAACTGGCGGGATCAGGCGCACGAAAATCGTCATGGCTGAACACAGGGTTATTCCTGGTCCCTCCCTCCTGGCCTTGTTACATGTTACTGGGAGTCTGTGCTGTTGTGTCTGTGGGGAGCTCCTGGCAGATAGGCATCCTGGCCATGTTGGTGTACCTCTGCTGGGCTGGACGGGGTGGCCTCCCATCTGAGGTGGTTTTCTTTTTGGCTTTATTTCCCAAAGCCTTTGCAGCCAACCGCGCAGCATCCGCTCTCGCTCTGAAGCCACCTTTTCCTTGCCTCCAGCTTGTTTGCAGGTGTCGTCCCGCGGATGGCAGCCATCAGCCTGGGAGGGTTCATCTTCTTGGGGACCTATGAGAAGACACGCCAGCTGCTGCTCTGAGCTGGGCCTTGTGGAAGAGCCCGCCAAGCTGCTGACCCCACGGAGGAGTCTGCCCACAAGCGCAGCCTTCTTCCTCCTGCCGCCTCTTGGCTGCGCCCGCAGCAGCTGTCCAGCAGCCTGAACTCCACGTTCACTGTTAACGAAAAGTAAATCCTCAAATAATCCAATTTCCCAAACATGAAATTTTTCCTGCATGGAAAATGAGTGAAGTCATTGTAAGAGTTATGCCAAAAAAAAGTGATGTTTGGGGGGCAAATAGCTCATTACGGTGGCTGTGAAAGGCGTTGCTAGAACTCCTGCAGGGGAAATGTTTTGCAAACCTCCAGCTCGTGGGCTGAGCGAGGAAGCTGAAATAAAGCAAGTGTTCATAATTCGGTGGCACCTGCCTCGTAACACTGGGAGGGTTCTACTGTTTGTGGTAGACTTACAGCCTGCCACCCGCCAACAGCACTGACAGTATTCCAGGCTGGGAGGGCTTTTTGTAAGAGACAATCATCCATTTGTTTCTGACTTTGAGCCGTGTTTGTGAAAGTTTATATTCCTGTTTATGCCTACAGGTGCACAGCAAGCGTTCTTGCGTGGTAACCAGCGTGGCGTTATTAATTAGTGTCACATTTCTCCAGTAAAAGCACGGTGTTGTATTATTTTACAGCTATGCCTTAGCAAAGACCTGCGGTTTGGCCTTGCCTTGGTCTTCCTCCCTCGGTGAAGGAGCAGGGATTGGGAATGGCAGAGCCCAGAAGGGAGTGCATGAGTTGGGGTGGTTCCAAAGCGCTCCTGGGGGCTGCTGGCAGGCAGAGCAATCCTCTGTGTTGATGTGGTGCTAGGAAGGAGAAGCTGTGGTGGCCCACATGGTGCTGGGACGTGCTTGGTGGAAAAGGCACGATTGGAATTACTAACTTAAAATTAACACCAGAATCGAGGAGGGGGGGGAGAAATAATTGGCCAAGTTTACTGGGCTACGTGACGCTTGGAAGTTTTTAGACACAGAGGGTGTTTGTGCAGGAAGGCCTGGGCTGCCTGCAGGTTCCCAGCTGCATCAGCACGATGGAGGCTGCTGGGAGACTTTTGTCTCCTCGGGTCACGCTGCGGTGGCATGCAGGGGGCCGGGCTGGGCGGCTGCTGGTCAGTGGTGGGATGTGGCAGCTGCCTGGCACGCACGGCCACTGCGGGCACAAAGGATGGGATGCTCTTCTGTCCGTCTGCTCAACGTTTTTGAGGTAACCAAAGTCAAGTTTGATGATGTGTTTCCCTGTGTTCTACGTGTAACAGTTTGGTTGCTCTCCTTAAAGAGGGGTGGTTTATTATGCTGTCATCCCATCACAGAGCAATCAGACTTTTCTGAGTCCCAAACTTGGCAGGCAAATAAAATGTGCAGAACAGAGACCATAACTCCTAAAAATAATCGTCAATTAAAAGGGGGAATTGCAACCAAGTCCCGTCTTGGCCGCTGACTTCTCCCACTTTCCATGGCACAGTGCAGCACTTCGAAGGTTGTCTCCTTTATGAACTTTTATATATAGCACACTCAGTTTTAGGGGCATTGGAGGGTGGAGATTTATTACATGGTCTTAAAAGCTGCATCGTATTTTCTATTAAAGCTCTTTAAACAGATGAGAGGGACAGAACTGCTGTTGGGGTATTTAATTACTTGAGCTGAAAGTAATCGTGCCTCAGTGCCCGCATCCAAATACAGTTTTTTGTTGTTTAAGTGTTTACGTAATCAGTTCTTGTCATCACCACCTTGAAAAAGTAGCCAAATTTTTAGCAAACTAAACCATGTATGGAACAGGGGGAAACCAGTTCTGCAGTTCTGTGACATTAAGGCTGCTTGTTTGGTAAACAGCAGAACTGCCTTTGCTCATGCTTGCTTTTTATTTTTATTTATTTGCTTATTTCTTTTTGCTGAGGTTGAATGGTTAGTGGGTAGAAGGGGAGGTTAAGGCACCTTCTGGCTGCTCAGTACCCAGGGCTGTGTCAGCCTGCACTCCGTGTCCATCTGGGACTGCAGTGACAGTAAATTTAGCTGAAAAAACCCCCACCACAGCAGTTAATTAATTGCCATGGGTTTGCCCTACTGAGCTGTTTGCTGTATTTCCACCTCCAGGCGCGTCCCCTTCTTGTGCCCTGCAGGACCTGCCCTGCACCCAGCACACCGCAGGAAGGACCTGTCCACGTCCAGCAGCAGCAGGCAAGTGGGGAGAGGGGCTGCTCTGCACACAGCAGTGCACTGATGCTGCTGGAAATGACACTTAGTTCTGGGACTACAAGGGAGGACGTGAAAAATACACTGCGGTGTTTTTCCTCTCCTGCCTGTTTGCCTTGAGCTCTTAGATACATTTTGGCAGTTATTTCAAGTTTACTGAAACTTGAAAAATTCGTCTTATTCCATTCCTGGGATAACGTTGAATCTCAAGGCATTGGCTTAAAGGATCTCTCTTTTCCATTTTAAAATACTTTAACTCCTACATGTGTTAAGGGAATTATCAGATGCTCTCAGAAAAGCTGAGCCGTACTTTGAATTAGCAACTGAAGAATACTTTTTAACATGCAGAAATTGAATTTAGTTTAAGTGGGAATTCACTCTTCTCTCAATCACAAATTGCCTCTGTGATTTCTAGACGGGGTGGGGTTTGGATTTGAGAAAGCCAAAGGTGTTCACAACTGCAGCTGAATCTGGTGCTATCTGGCCCCATTTTTCTTACATGCTTACACATACACCCATCTGTTCTGCTTTCCGTGCCAAGATAGCAGTACTTGCCAGATACTTCAGCAGTCCATGTATCAGAATTGTTTCTCAAATGAGTTCTCTGTGGTATCTTTTAGTGCAGCCCCCAGCTTCCACCCCATCCCCAGGTCGGGCTGCCAGAGGCTCACACTGCTCTGCAGTACCTGAGGTTACATTTGTGGGTCTGAGTTCACAAAGGGATGTTCTGGCAGTTATTTTGTACCTTCATCAGAGAAAGTCAGAAAAGAGTATAGCAATGGATTAGAATTTTATTTAGGTTTTTAACTGAAACTCCCAAAAGCTCACTCAACAAAAAAGCTGTAATATTATAAATGAACCTTTATTAAAGACACTTCAATGCATTTGTTAGACACTTTAATATCTTACATGTTTTTCAATGTACAACATTGTACCAAATTTTCTAATAAATAAATAACTTTGTACACAAAAGTAATACTTCCTCTTTCACATTGCCTCTTAGAAGCAGCAAATTCACATATTTAGTGGAAGTCAGAACGTTAGGCAGTTATCTTTATTCAGAAACATCATTTTCAAATGTTAATGTGGCAACTATGCTTTGTCTCTGTCAATGGTGATGACATTTCTGCCAGCAAAATGAGTCGTCAGTTAAGTCATTCCTGTGTTCCCAGTCCCCCCATCCTCACTGAGCTGGTTTTGAAGCATGCCTTTCCCTTGAGGAAAGGGAAACATACGCTCACATACGCTTGGTTTATGATTTTCTAACATCCATTTCCTTTGCTTGGAACAGACTTGGCACTCAACATAATTAGCCACCTGTCTCAAAGTGCAAACGTGTCAATAGTCAGAAACTGATACAGACAGGTACCTGGCTAAATTATGCTTTGCTTCATTAAGGTCGGGCTCAGTTGGCTTGTTTACAGCAAAGCTCGCCTTCAGCTGCTGTGCAGAAGACGCAGATCCTTCCTTACGGCAGATGTCGGCCTCAAGGTAAGGTGGGACACGACCAACGTTAAAATAAATGGGCACGTTGCCATTGCAGGGCAGCACGCGACTTTATTAAAATCCCACAGGTGTGGTAGGTCTCAGACAGATACAAAAGTAATGGATCTGAACCCAAACTGCAGTGTTTCTGCATGTTGTGAGCCACAGTCTTAGCAAAAGTAGATTTCCACTCGATTCTGCTGCAGTGGAACTGGCATTTGTGTTGCTCCTAAGGAAAAAAGTAACAAAACCCCTAATAAACCTTTCCCCAAAGTAGTCATCACCAGAGTTAGCAACCTTATATTAGCAGAACTCAAATTATAAATAACTGGAAGGGAGTCCTCCATCCACAGGTACCAACACCAACAGAAAGCAGCCTTTCTATGAATAAAAAGCTTCAAACTGAAGTTAGAAGTGACAAAGATCTGTCTCACCAAAACGGGCATTTTTTTTCCCCCCCCATTCATGGATGAACTTAAAAGACCACGTAAAAATATTTTGGACATTTCCATTTTAAAGTGTACTTTCAACCACAGTTTCTCTTCTAAAGGAGACTATTTCTGAACAGCCCAGAATTGCTACACGAGGCAGCATAATTAATTGGAAGCGGATATTTTCACCTACATCTGGCTGCAGATCAGGGCGATGGTGTCGAACAAGCAAGTGGAATATTGTACTGCAGGGAGAAAGTGAGTATCAGATGAATTAAGGGTACAGCTGTCAGAGCGGGACTTAATTTCTGTTGTCACAGCAGCTCCATGGTTTTGAACCCCCCTCCAGGACAGACGGGTACTGCTTGCTTAGCCAACGTGGTGAAGCGCAGGGCTGAGCGCTGCTCCTGCACGGGGCCGGGCTGCAGCACCGCAGGCTCCTCTCCACTGGGGGCAGCGCCTGCAGCTCGGCTGTGTCAGTGGTGAGCGATGCAGCACGGCTGGGCACAGAATGCCTGCTGCTGCCAAGCTTTTGAGAGGTGCCACGCATGAGGCCACCCCACGGCTTACTGCATGAATCGTTTGTTTTGGGAACGACTGCTCGCTAGTCACGGTCTCCATTTGGTCGGGTTGTTCTGGGGCTCTGCACTGTTGCTGAATTATTTCGTGCCACTTGTGTGGTCCGCTCGAATGTGTCACGGGGAAAATACAAACTCTGATGCAGTGTTGAAAAATAATGGAATTTAAGTTCTTCCACAAACAGGAAAACAATCAGGTTGCTATGTAATTCCTCACTGCTTGTTTTCTTTATTCCTGTAAGCTTCATTTCAAACAGTTGCAGATCCCTGTTTAAATGTGTTAAGTGCAATAAATTTCAGAGGGGAAAGAATTTGTGCTAAGTAACCCAATTGATACTTGATTTAAAGGGACTTCCACTGGAAAGAGGACAATCCCTTTGGAACAGTCTGGCTTTTTAAATTTCTGTTTATGCATTTAAGGCACCAGAATTATTTCTCTCACAAAGTTTAACAGCAACCTGATACTGAAAACAGTATTGCCAAAATTGTAAAATTTCACTCAGTTTTCCATGCACTAAAGATTAAAATAGCCTCTGTAAAAGATATATATATATATTTATATATATATTTATATATGAAAACTCTTATGTACAATTGTATCAAATACTTTTCTCTTTACACAATAACTCTTGCATTTATGTGCTTCATATGCAAGTCAACTTTTGAATGCTTCATACTTCACAGGGAAGTTTTAAACTATGTACAAACAGATGACGCTCGAACAGGAGTTTGTTCCCCATACAAGCTTGTTTCTCATACCTCAGCTGTTTTGCCTTTGACAGGTCATCAGTTCAAGATTTGAGGTAGAAGTAAGTAGCCTCTATACTCTGTGCAAAAAATAATAATAACAATAGCACGTTTGTTGCTTTGCACATGGCAGTCTGTCCTCTCAGTCTGTCGATCTGCTCGAGGGCTTCAACGCACGACTGGAGTCGCACGACTTGGGTGTGAAGCCATTGGCCAGGAGGGCCTGTTTTGCTTCTGCTTCGCTCTGCAGATCCAGTAGTGTTGGGGGAATTTCAGGAAGCACGTTCAGTTGCTTTAGTGACCCTCCTGCCGGCGAAGCTCTCACCAAGTTCAGGTTGTTAAGCTCTGAAGGCTTTGCTCCTGATTGCGAAGAGCCTGCAGAAAAGCAAAGCAGCGCGGTTAGCTGGTGCTCAGCCCGCCAGCAGCACGCACAAAGCCAACCCTGCCGCTGTCATTCCTGCCCTTGAGCCAAGTTAAAAAAGCAAACGGGGCACGGCGTACCGTGTTGGTCTGCAAGCAGAGGGCTGGCGGTGCTCACGGCTGTTATTCTGTCGTGGTTGCTGGGGTAAAGGGTCCCATCAGCTTCCATCCTCTTGCTGGCAATCCCGTTGCACTGCTGCGGATGAAGAAGGCTGGTGGTGCCTGCACCCCTCTTCCTGCTCCGTTCCTTGCTGCTCAGTGCGTTGTGGTAGGAAGCATCCAGAGTCTGAAGGCCCTCCGCGTAGTACTGCGACTCGCCGGGACAGATGTGGACGTTCATGCTGTCTGTGCTGCCGCTGCAGTCTGTGCACACAACGGGCAGCCCGTAGCCTTTCCAGAAGGAAGAGAAAACAGCAACAAATGCAGATCGACCAGCTGAATTTGTCAGCACTGAGACACACAGAGCACTCGGCAGAGCGGGAAGCTCGCTCAGTAGATAATATGGACATTTTCTGCTTCACATTCAGGGTTAGCAAAGACTTGTGCTTGTCACAGCTCAGCAGCTGTCCTGTCACTAAAGGTAGTTCCAATAACTAGCTGAGTTTTTGGTGTTTTTTTTTTTCTAACTCCAAAGAAGTTTTGATTTCATTTTTAAAAATCTACCATACACTTGTTTCCTTTTCCAGACTTTCTAGTCAGGGCAGAAATAGAAACTGGAACTTTGCTATAACCGCTTTAAAATACCAATTTGCCTTTCTTATTTTTGTGCTGCTGCTTTATAGGGATCACTGTCAAATCGTATTGTTATCTCAGGATACTTTATTGCTGCTAGTGGGAACAGCAGCTGAGCAGAATTCAAAGCAGCAAGATGAAAGGAGGTTCTGAGTTTTGAAAGTTAGTTTCCTGAGTGCACTTGACAGCTTTTCATTATTCTACTTTACTGTTTCTCCTGGAGAGAGAATTTATCCTAAAAATAGGAAAGTGTAACACCCAAGAAATTGGCACAGAGAAGCAGCAGGTGCAGTGCCCAAAACAACAGTAAAATTCTGAACATTCAAATTAAAAAAGAAAAGAAAAGCTGAGCTTTGAAAATGACAGCGCCTTTAAAGACCATGAAAAAATTTTAACACCTTCAGTTTGGAAGGGCTCTCTTCATTTTAGGAACAGCTCAAATCAAAACACCCCTCAGCCAGCTGTGAGCGAAGGCCAGCACAAGCTTCAGCCCTCCTCCTTCTGATGGGCCCTTGAATTCAAACTATCCAACTTTGAGAGAGGATCAAAGCAAGCAGGAGAAAGTAATTTATTGTGCTCACACCTGAGAAACATCCTGGCCTCTTTTTCTGAAGGTAACAATTTCTCGTCTCATTGCTGTCTGACTCGCAGGGCTTTCTGATCTGTACAAACACGAAATACCTTTCTAGATTAATGAGTTTTGTACCTGTCTTATCTGGAACAAGCATTCCGTCAGCCGTGTCTTCAGTTTTCCAAGTGTCTTTATTATAGCCGATGCACAGCTTTGGCTGTCTGCAACCTACAGTGGGAGCTTCAACATCTGGACACCTTCCAGCATCAGTCTGACACATACCTGTAACAAACGAACCATCTGGCTACAGATTACAACCATCTGCCCTCAGCTGAATGACTTGTTAGTCATATTTCTACCCATAAAAGCTGCAAAAGGGAAAAACAGCAGTGAAGATAATAGATTCTGTTAAACATTAGCTTAAAATTGTAACTGATGTCTAATCTTTGGAGAATCTTAGCTCAGAACAGTTACCTTTTCTTTCCTAATGTGCCATGTTTAAATACTGTAAAACCCCAGCATTTAATTTCTAAGCCTGAAGGCAGGGACAGGCCATGCTAATGTACCTTCTAGTAAAGCTTAACTATGGTAACTCCAGTGCCAAAGAACTAATCCAAAATTAGCAGGAAAAAAAAAACAAACTAACAACTCATTATGGCCTGACTGAGCAGTTTTGAAGCTGTCTGCTTAATCTGCTTAATTAAACTAAGTTATAACAGGGTAGGGTAGCTTTGCAAAGTGAGAGAGTCCTTGTTCTGCATAAATGCGGAGACCGGAGAATTCCAGTGCAGAGATCTATCAGCTAACTCATAACAAGCACAGCAATACTTGACACTGTATTTTTTCCATCCCTGCATCACGTTCAGATGCAGGATTACAGAAGAAATGACTGGTTCTCACCATTGCTGTCTATGTGTCCATTAGGCTGCTGGTTATCTCCTCTGACGACCGCTTCCTGCCGGTCAGAAAGAGTCCCTTGTGAGGACAAGTAGCTCGGCACGTCTGGAGGCACAATGGTCTCATCTGGAGCAGTGGGAGAAAGATATGAATTCCTAGGAAAACATAAAGGCTTCTTCTGTTTGTATTACATCTCAAATCACATTTTCAAGAGGGACTGAGGACCAGATCTGTATATACACGGTATTTTCTGTAAGAGCAGTGAATTAGAATTCAGCTGCCTAGAATCTCCTAATGCCCCTCAGCAGCCCCACTCCTGATTTTCTCAAAGCCTGAAGCTGTGAGATTTAATGCTGATAAACTGATGTTCTGGATGTTTGGCACTGCCAGGACGAAGTGGAACTGTCTCTTCGCAACCCATAAGAGCTTATCACCTGAAATCCAGCACACCTCATTTGATTCATGTCCTCTGTCTCCCAGAGCCATGAAGAACAGGCTTTTGGAGGGCAGGGATTCTGACTTCAGCAGGCAAAGTCCAAGTCACTTAGCTACCCCTGGCTTTCTCCATCTCGTATCAGGCAGTTTTACTTTCCCCTGCCATTCAAATACCAAGTGAAACTCAAGTACACCAGGACTGAATAGAAGGGAGACAAAAATCCCACTTAGACATGGCACTGGTGACATGGTATCCAACGTTTCCTACTTAAGTCCACCTCATGCTTATATCTAAATCTAATAGCAATACAGGAAGACCACAAATGTGAGAACAGGGAAGCCTTAAAGTAGTTTTGCCTTACTTCTGTACAGAGACTGTTTAAAGCTGATGGCAGGAGAGTTTTTATCCCTGCAACGTTTGGTTCAGCACCTTATTATCCCCTTGGAAGACTGGCAGAAAGCAATAAGCACTCCTTCCTTCCCCCAGGAAGAGAGGGATGCCCATCATCAGTATGGTTACAACAGCTCTTACAGGCAATATGGAAAAAGGGTTTCCAGCTTCAGAGGCTCACTTTTCTATGTTCAGAACACGCAGTCTTTGAAAATACAGATTCTCAAGAAGTTAAGACAGGATCTAAGCACTGTGGGCATCACAATCTCAAACTCAATCTCATCACAATCTCACAATTGTGGGCATCTGACTATCTCGAGAGTCAGTTATCATTTACAGTCGTGGAAAATTAAAGTTGCAAAACAACAGTTGAAACTACTTCCACTTGGAAAAGACCTTTCTGAAGAGCCAGCCAAGGGCAGAAATGCAGCTGTAAACATGCAGGCAAAGGGTGGTTCCAGCTGCTGCAGCCAAGAGAACCACTGAGAAAAGCCAACTGCTTTTCCAGTAAGACTGTGGCTACCTGACATGCTGATTTGGCCCCGGTGGGAAGTCTGATAACACAGCAGGTTAGGGAAAGCCTCAGCAGGATACTGGAGGTACCTGTGTTGGTCACACTGTATTCCTCACTCTTCTTTCTGGTTTGGTAGATGATGCAGACCCAGACCAGCGAAGTCAGCACGATGCTACACACCACAGCAATGGTGATGATCCCCACAGTGGTACGGTCCTTTCTGCAGCCAAGAGACTGTAAGATGCTCACGTGGCTGTGCGCACGCTCTGTCCCCAGGGTGTTGGACATCTCACAGGTGTATTTCCCAGCATCTTCCAAGACAACATTCCTAACGATGAGGAGCTGGTTGCCAGAGGTGAAGTGATGCCTTTCTGTCACGATCAGGGGCTGGTCGCCTTTCAGCCAGGTAATGCGGGGCGGTGGGCTCCCCGTGGCTTTGCACTGAAGAGCCACAGTCTCACCTACAGACACTACGTGGTCTTCCAGTGGGTGAATCAAAGATGGCGTCTCTGCAGGGGAATAAAGCAGAAATTAATTCGTGGGGATACCACAACAACATTTTTCTTTTAACAGCATTGAACATAACTCGTGTTTCTGCAGACAAATACTTGGCAGTGCAGTATGTGGCCACGTGCCTAGGACTATGGAAGCTGTGTACCAAACAGGTCTAAAAATCACGACCAAAGCAGTCTCTCAACTTGGTGGTGGTAGTGTTCACTTCAGAGAAAAAGCCTCGGCTATGGAGGCAATGGCTGACACACGTGAATAATCTGGCAAGGCCAGAGAAAGAGAGCACAAATTCCTTTTGAAGTCAATTTCCTAGGTAGGAAATAGCATGGCTACAGGGGCTCCCCAGAACAGAGGAAATGTGACTCAAAGCTCCTTTTTTTTAATTAGCAGGTTTTTTTCCCTAGTTAACTACAGTGTAGAAGAATGAACAAGAAAAACGCAGAGCATGGCCTCTTTGTCCCCTTTCTGCAACTGCTAAAGAACAATCCCTTCCAGTTCCTGCTTCTAGACCAGTCAGTCTTTCAGGGACTCTCAGGCATCTTACCCAGTACAGTCAGGGTGGCATTTGCAAGCACAGACCCTGCAGAGTTCTGCGCTGTGCAGCTGTAGACACCCATATCTTCTATCTTCACATCCGTAATGAAGAAGACATCGTCATCAGGCATGACGTGCATGCGGCGTTCCCGGGCTGCAGGGAAGTCTGTGCCCCCATCTTTCTGCCAGGCAATTTGTGGGGTGGGGTGTCCTTCAGCTGCACACTCCAGCCGTGCCGTTGTCCCTGTCCGGCTGGTGATGTCGTGGGGAGTTTTGATAAAGGAGGGCAGCACTGATAAAGAAAGAATAGAAAAAAGGATGAGTGGTTCTACGGAGAAAACACAACTTTCCAGGCAGTTCTAACTGCTTTCCTTCCTAGGAAATAATAATTACATAATAATTATCTATAGGCAACACATGACAAGATGCTTTTTTTATCTATTTTTTATGTGTCTTTTATCTCCATAGCACATACCTGTCCAGGACACCCCATTCAGGATCATTAGAGCTGGAATCAAAGCTAATTTTCTTCTGTGACTAAACTGGAAACAAAACCCATTATCCCTCCTACTTTCAATCACTACAGTCTCTTTTCTTTCTATACTTTTTTACTCCCATGGGCAAAGACTCCACTGGAACAGCCAAAGACAAGTGATTACAGCCATTAAAACCGTGCCTGGCTGGATGGCAGCCATCACAGCCTGGCATGTGCTCCTCACATGGCATTCTCAGCATCCCCTGAGAGGCAAGCAGCTGGTGTGAAGAGGTTACGAACTTCTCCTGCAAAACCCTCAGGAGTTTACAGGTTTACAGCTGGCCACAACAGGCCCCAGAGAATTGCTGAGGGAGGGAAGGAGAACTCGGCTTGCTACTCACCATTAACAGTGAGTCGAGCCTTGTTGGAGTAGGTGGAGCCAAAGTGGTTGGTGATGATGCACTGGTATCGGCCCTCGTGGGCAAAGGTGACGTGGCGGAGGTGCAGAATGGTGGTGTATTCCATCACCTCGCC